TACAAAAGAATTTTTTGTAGTAACTAAACAGTTTATAAGAGAAAACTGAAGAATTATTGGTCACGTGCAATGTTACTGTAGGAGAACATAAGACAAGAACAGGTTGATGCCTACACATTGAACGCATTAGAGTTCATTTAGTTTTTATTTCAACAACAGAAGAAGGGATCCCTGGGTGGCGCAGCGGTTTGGCGCCTGCCTTTGGCCCAGGGCGCGATCCTGGAGACCCGGGATCGAATCCCACATCGGGCTCCCGGTGCATGGAGCCTGCTTCTCCCTCTGCCTGTGTCTCTGCCTCTCTCTCTGTGTGTGTGACTATCATAAATAAATAAAAAATTAAAAAAAAAAAACAGAAGAAACATGAAGTTATTCCATTTCCCTGGTCTGATCTCAAGTTCTAATGGAACATATTGAGCAAGGAAACATTCTTTAAATATGTTATATATCTTTAAAAATGTATAGAAAATATGTAATACGGTGCATAACATATTCCAATGTTGACTTTGGAATAGTAAACATCCAATAAGAACGTGTTTCTAAAGAGTACTTCTGAGAAATCTTGTTTTTCCCATCAATCATTAGATGACACTATTGGTATGGTAGGCTGTCACCATCCAGTCCAAAGACAGCAATTTACCAGATAAAATGCACTTTTAAAGAACAGCCTTTGGTTTGGTATAATTAAAATCGAATTATCGTAATTATATCTAAATTCAAGTCAGCTTTGTATTTGCAGCTGTTACAAAGAAGTGACATTAAAAAAACTCTTCACAGGAGATTAGACTTTCAATAGGTAATATTTTCATCAGTTGGATTTTATTTTCATCTTTGTTTGATATTTATTAAGTATGCATACTTACCTAGATTTGTAATTTGAAGAGTCTCTTTCCACATTACATAAGTAAATGTAGTAACATGGACTTTATTTTATAATAAAGTAACCCAGAATAGAGCAACTATGCATGAGAATAAAGAGAATGCTGATTTCAAATACATATTAATTTCTGCCAATTCTAATGAAATTGCCAGGCTTGAAGTCTAAATCTACACAAATCTAAGAAAAATCTAATTCCCAGCCGCAAGCTAATGCGAAGTTTAGCAATGTGACAATATCTTTCTTCTTTTAAAGATTTTATCTTTAAGTAATCTCTATACCCAACATGGGGCTTGAACTCACAACCCTAGGATTAAAAGTTGCATGTTCCACCACCTGAGGCGCCCTAAGACAATATCTTTCTTACCTTTGTATTAGTAAGAAAGTTTGTGCAAATGCATTGGGGGGGGGGGGTTGTAAATGTATTTTTAAAAGGTGCCCTTACTTTTATAGAAAATTTGGATGAAATGGTCATTCAAGGAGGGAGTTGGAATCAACAATGAGAAGAAAGAACAGTTTAGTCTCTGGCTATATATTGAAAAGCATTATCTTAAGGATTATTTATAGGGTCAATTAGAATTGTTCATTAGAATTGACAGTTATCAATAAGCCTGTTGAATGAAATTATCTGACTCAAAATTTTTTTGGAGAAGCATAAATGGGCATGTCCTAAAGCTTCAAAAAGGCATGATAATGATACCTATTTGTAAAATAAATATTGGGACTTTAAGCCAACACTGTAATGAAATGAGATTTTGTAATGCTCACTCCAAATTATTAGAACATCTTAAAAGACTAGTTTTTGAAAATGCTATTGCTTAAAGCTCATTGCAATTGACATTTTTAGATGGATAATAATGTCAAATTATTAAAAATCCAAATAATTATGTAATTTAATAATCTTAAAAACTGAAACAATCACGATATGAACAGGATTATATTTGTCTTCCTTTTTTTTTAATAAGGCCCCACCTACCCACCCCACTTAATACTGCGATTTGCTTTACCTTCTCCCCACCCTAAGCTAGTACAATCTCTTTTCCTGGTCTCCTTTTTTTCTTTTTCCATAACAGTTTCACTGTCTAACATACTTAGATATTTACATTTTTTTTATTCCATTTACTGTCTTTTGTATATCTCCTGCATCAATGCCATATATGTAATACAAAAAGACATGAACCTTCTTTGTTTTGTTTTCTCATATGTATAAAGCACCTGCTGCACTATCTGGCACAAAACAGGTTCTCAATAAATATTTGCTGAATTAATGAATGTATAAGTGAATGATGAATTTCATTCAGATAAAGCTCCAATAGTCTAAACATTATGTTTTTGGAAATAATGTTAGCTGTCAAAAGCTAAATACCATTTGAAAGAAGTCACATATATCACACTTCCTTTAATCTTTGCAATAGCATTGCCAGGTGGGCATTTTTATCCCCATTTATAAAATAAAACAGCTGAGGTGTATAGAGCTTAAGTACCTTTCCAGTGCACAGAGCCTGTAAATACTAGGGCTTATTTTTGAACAAATCCATGTTTTTCAAAAACTTACACTGACATGACTTGCTTTAGAACAATTATTTCTCTAGAATTCATGCTAATTTTTACTTCTGAATTAGTTGTAAAATTTTTGAGAGTCCATATTTATATTTTTCATTTTTGAATAGGAGCTATATTTCTATGGTTGAAATAGGAAAATAATATAAAAAGGCACTCACCTCCTACCGAGGAATCTGGCTCCTCTGGTTCCCTTCCATCATACACTTTGCTCTTTTACAGATAACCATTTCTATAGGTCTCCACTGTTACTTTACCAAAAACAAGAAAAAATGAATATATATTCTATTTTTTCTTCCTTCTTTTCATAGAGGGTAGCTTAGTAGAACATGAGCCCTTATATTTTCAGTATCAATGGATCTCAATGAGGTAAATAATTTATTTCCTCTTTGACCTATTTAGAAGTTGATATAAATCACTTATTAATCTTGGGCTATTAGCTCTTCTAAATGAGGTAAATCTTCCTGTGATATTTGACTGACATTATTAATCATTCATAACTTCAAAGGAAGTTGAGTTATGAAGCTATCAGTAGGGTTCTTAATGTTTTACTTACATATACAGTAATTAAAATGTCTACTGCTGTTATGAGATGTATTTTAATGATTTTTATAATTTTTATACAGCTTTATGGATATGTCAGAATTTAAAATTTTTAAGTTGAAATCTATGGCTGTAGTGGGTTATGGAAGTATTGCAAGATCCAACTTTATAACTCTTTGAAGTGATAGCATTAAAGTGTTGTGTCCCAGATAATAAGCACATTATTTTTTTCTTGCAAGCACAGAAACTGGAAAACCCCATTTTTGTTAATAATAACGTCCAGGTTCCAGAGAGTTACCTTCTCCAGGTAGGTCCTGGATCATTACTTCAGCATAGTTGGAAGCAAGTCTGGCTTCATGGGCCAGCCTTCTACAGTCACACAGGGCCCTATGCGTAGGACTCCCTGCCTGGTTTAACATTGTTGTCTTGACATTCTTAATTTTTTAACAAGGAGATCCACATTTTCATTCTGCACTGGGTCTCACAAATTATGTAAACAGTTGTAACTTTTCTTTACTCTTTAACAGAATGTCACTAATAGTTATGACTTATCTAGATATTGTTTTTACACTTAAATTTCACTATGAATTATGTTAACTTTTGGTACTGGCAATATTTTTTTCCAGTGAGATTTATCTTTCTTCACAGATGATTTTGTGGCTTAATTATCCTTTCTTCTTAAAGCATTTCAATGATAGTTGATTCATAAAATGTTTAAGAAGGAACTCTGTCAGATGATTTCATTGTACACACGAAGACTCCTTCAAATACAGGGAGAGATCTAATTGAACAAGAGAGAATGATGAGAATAACCACTCACTTAACAACCATTTCCCTCAAGTGGTTGGTATTTAGTGCCTGCTGATATCACAGTAGGTAACATTAGGTTCCATCAACTCAATTCCAGATGTGTCATAACTAAGGCTTGATGGCAAGGAGCCAAGGAACCCATCTCTCAATAACTTACCACTTGAGTTAAAAATGTATTGAGTTCCCACAATGTACTAGTCAATGTGTGTACAATCCCAAATTAAGAAAATCCCTCCCACAAGTTCCCATCAGTTCTGGACTCTTCCTCCCCCCCCTTCCCCCCATGGGGATGATGTGCTACCCAAATCACCTACAGAATGCAGGGATAAGTAGAAACTTTCTTGATGCTCTTGGAGGCTGATCCAGTTTTTAGCGTTTGAATATAACTATCAGCTTCACTGTGTAAGAGAAGATCATGGATCAAACAGACCTAGGGATCCCACCTCCAGCAGAAGCAAGAACTTTCAGAAGAGAAAAAGGAGATATTTGGGGGAAAGTTTAGACTATTATTTCTAGTGTTGATTCATGCAACAGGTCAGCAGAAACTGTTAGCTAGAACTGTTGTACTGCCTATTGATCTGTTGAGTTATGGTGAGGATTACCTTAGAAATTTCAACACATCAAAATCTTACAGAAGTCCATATCCTGTCTAGTTCTCCCTTTAACTCGCTTCCTGAAATAAAACCAAGTCAAAGCAGATGATTCCCAATGCAGCTGATTTGTTCCAACATATATTTGAAGAAGGAGCTAGTAAATTAATCTTCCTCAGTTTCTGGACTCTGCTGTTCCTTCATATGAAAAAGAACAAAGAAGGGTTGTGTCCCAAAATAAAGCATACAAACTTCATCCTTCTTTCATTAAAATGTTCCCCCCCCCCTTTTTTTTTCTTTTTTAGAGCAGGCATTTTCTTCATGTTGGTAAATTCCTAATCTAATTCAGCTAATTGCATCCTCCTACCAAAATACGCTTTTAGAAAAGATTACAAGTGGGAGACATGACAAATGGAGAAAACGGGCAAATTTGATAAACATAACTTAATAGGAATGTGTAGAAATGTCAAAGCACAGCATTTCATTTTTAGTTCAAATAAGGGCTCTTTGCATAACTATATAAATCATATAGAAGTTCGTATACTTCTTTTTTTTGGTAAGTACAACTCAAACTGACATACAGAAAAATTCCTCAAACTGATAAAAAGGTAGCATAGATGAAATGAACAAAAGATAACCAGTTTATTTACTGGAAAGAGTTATGCATTACACCATATTCAGTTGGTAACATAAACCAAGGTATAAGAATTGATATATTGGCTTTTGGTTATTTTCTTAGCATTGGAGTGCCTTTTCCAACCATCGAGTGCATGATCAGATTACACAAATACAAGCACATATCATATATGGATTCTCTCATGAGACATTCACTTAGGATTGTCCACAATAAAAAAATTAAAAAGGACAAGCAATAATAAATTCATAAGAACATTTCTGAATTTAAAATAAATGCATATGTCTTTGAGAACAAGTTTCCCTTGAAATTTGGATTTTAAAAAATGATTAGCAACAAAAGAGTTTCTTAGGTCAGTCTTTTAGTCATGTTTTCATATGGTATTATCTGTAGGTGGAAACACTTCACATCATTTAATCCCAAAAGGCATAATAACAAAATTGCAATTAAATGTAGGAATAGCAGAATCGTTACAACAATAATTATATTGTGTACAAATCAGGGTTGGCTACACATTACACAAATGTTAATATTGGAAAGAAATACAATTCAGAATCATGTATGGTTCATCATGTATGTGTAGTCATGCAAATAAAAACACTGAGTAGATTACAAAAATATCATAAAAGATTTTCAAAGAACTTCTTTAATTGACTCTAACAGTCAAACCATGGAGCTTAAAAATTTTGTGGCAATAATGGCAAAATCATTTCTTTCCTCTAAGATTTGGTGCATAATCATATCTATAAACCTAAATGACAAAATGATTCATTATGGATATTCAATATTATTGAATAAGGATTTGTCAACAAAATGACATTTCTCTTTATAGTTCTCTGATCTTTGCTTTTAAATGACATTTTAGAAAGAAAAACATACAATCACACTAAAAGCATCCGATTTACTTCTCAGTGTTTTTATTAGAGAACCATAATGATCAGAGAATAATTCTGAAAGAAAAGTTCAAATAAAAATGTGTTCTCGACCAATGTTCCACAGCACTTAAACTCCAATCACAGAAATAATCTGGCTTGGTAGTTTATCCAGGTGTCAGTTTAAATCAGCCAAATTTAAATAACTCCAGAGGAAAGGGACAAAAATACATTGAGGATTAGAGCCATGCATTTCAATATGGAAAGGAGACCAGATATAGGTAGTAATCTCTTTACATTCCTAATGGAGAGAAGATAACAAGAGAAATAAGACTTTTATAGTGTTTGTATTATGAATATGGGAAAGCTTACATGATGTGAAATATCTCATGCAAACATTTTACACGCATACTTTTATGTACTCACACCCTTACAGTAAAGGCAATTAATTACTCCTCTTCTTCTTAAGTAGAATATTACTTTTGGAAAATCCTCGATTGGGGAACATATCTCAATACTAAATATCTTTTTCAGTTATACTTTGAATAAGAAGGATGAAAGAGATGCCTCGACAAAATCTTTCAGATGTCAACATAATTGGATCAGGCTACAAATGCAACAAATCAGGGACTTTAGCAGTTAATTTGGCATTTAAATAAAGATGAATTTACCTACAGATGCAACTCATCTGGGGGGTAATTACAGACAGTGGAAAAGGTCACTCGGGAGCTAGATTGGTCTCATCATCCATAGAAATGGATTACAAGGTAAAAATTACTTGTTATCAGCACTGATCATGCCATCTCTCACAACTCCAGTTCAACAGCTTTTTGAAGAATTACGTCCCCTGTATTTGAAAACATAATCCTTCTAAATTTCTTGCAATCCTAAATACAAGGGTTATTTTAAATCATTCTGGTTTATAAACAAACAAAAAACCCTGGAGGACAATTTTTTTTTTAATTGTGAACTTTGTCCTAAGAATTCCTTTTGAATCTAGTCCTACTTTATATCTACAATATCAATGTGTTTGGCCTCCTTGGGCTGAATCAGCACAGTTCCTTACTGGAAATTGATTAGTTTTTCTTGATGTGTCTTTCTGAAAGAAAGATTATGTCTTTTGTCTGCTGGATTATAACAATTACACATTAAATTTGCCATTCTTATCCTAGTAGAAAATATATTTCATTTCTTCTTTTTCATATTTTGTAATTCCTACTTGAGAATTGTAGAGGATTTTATTTACTACTGTCCACATTCATAGTTGGTTCATTTGACCAACGTTTCATGGTTGTTTGAAACAGAAGGCCTAACTGTACAGGAATATTTTCCAAAGCATTAGAAAGAGGAAATACTGAGATTGAAGATCCTTTTAAGAAAAGATAAAACTTGAGAGGCATTTGCCCCCCTAAGAGATTACATACCTTCTATTTCCAAAGTATTCCTGAGGACATTTGTTTTTTTAGACTCTGACAATTGAGGCTTTTTATAATAAAATTACTAAAGATATTATGAAATATAACTGGAAGAAAAAATATTACCAATGATCTTGGTTTTTACCAGATATCTTGGAAAAATTAAGATTGCCATCTTATTTTCAAGGGATAAAATATTTTATGACTAACCAGTGTAACTTTAATGTATTTTTCAGTTCAAACGAAGCATAAGATTATGGAATCCTGTAATTATAATACATTATCACAAGATACCTTGCCACCAAACTCAATTCTTACTAGACAACCAATAATATTTAATTTTTGAAAAATCAATATTCCTTATGATTATCAATTTCAGTGATTCACTTTTCACTGTTAAAAATCTCTTTCATAGAGGCAATATAAATCCTTCACACTAAAGACCTAGCTTCTCTTATTCCAGGCTTAATAACGATATCTACAGCTTACAGCATCTCTCGTTTGTTAAATTTCATTTTCTTGAAGATCACTATTGTGCCTCCTCTTCCTTACGCTAAATAAAAGTTTCACCTTTTTAAATAGGTCTTTCTTAATTATTTAACAACTTCCTATTTTCTCAAAGTTCTCCAAATTCCTCTTATTGAAGCAGAATTGGATGTATGAAAGGGATTTGATGAATCAGAAGCTGATTGGAAAAATAATCCAAGGGTCCTGTATACCCCTGTGCACTCAGGTCAAAGGCAACTTATTGCTCCTTTAAATAAAATTTAATTTTTTAGCTAAGAGAAATCCTCAGTTATGGAAGCATTTCTGCATAATAACATCTTTTTAGGGTGGTAATTGTGCTTACTTTAAAAAAACTACCTAGTTACTTTGCTAACCACTCTTGCTGGTTACCTTTAATCTTTGCCCACTGTATTCCCAATAATTAGCCAGTATTTTTATTGTATTTCTGGAGTTGGTTTTTATTCTCCAAGTCTGTCTTCAATTAGTCTTACTGAGGCTCATTCTTTTTGATGTTCACTGATTCCTCAATTTTTCAATTTCCTTTTGAATCCTGATTTTTTTTACACGTACCAATTTTAACCAATGCTACACATATTTATTCTTTTAAATGCCTCTAAATAAATATGGATATGGCTCAGTTCAAACTATACTAAAAGATGCCACAGTGTAAATACATGGAATTCTCTCCTACAGCTTAGGGACTATTATCTAATTTTGTGCTGAAAATTAGAAATTTATTTCCAAGTTTCTATATCTTCTTGGCAAAATTTTGCAAAAATTAACCATTTATAGAATTAATATTTCAAAACAAGCATTTCCCACTCTATCAAGATAAAGAACTGAAATAAAACCAGTATATAACAGACTCAATGGTAAACTTTCCATGGAGAGAAATAAATGTTTTGTCTGTAACTTGGCTTTCACAGGTCATAAATACAGAGAAAGGGAGCATGAAAGACTTGCACTGCCAATAGGCAGTACTGCCCTGTAGTTACACACAGACAATTCTTACTGCTGAATTCCCTGTACTACCAACAAAACTGACGAGGCAATATAAGAAGACGTTCTGAGGTACTTTTTCAAAAGGCATATTTTCCCTCAGGCACAAATAGTTTTTATTAAAAGTCAACTTAGCAGCTATGCCACTTCTCAGGTCCGAAAACATGAAGCTTGTAAAGAAAAAAAGAAGAAAAAAAAAAGCAGGAGTGGGGATGGGGTAGTTTCTTTTAATTGAACTCCAACAAAATCCACACTATCTCAGTAATACTGGTACCAGGCAGATACAACACTAATAAAATGAAGAAAATGTTTAGGAACAGCAAGGCAATGCAGGTAGGAAAGAGCAGAACATTAGGTTGCCACGATCTGGACTTGGTGAAGATTTGTTTCTTGTTTCTGCACTTGAATCTGAATCTCTATTTTGGTAGATTTCCAGTTACTCCAAGTTGCATAATAAATGACACTGTTGAAAATAGCACTCATATAAGGAACTCGAATCCTCTTGATGCTTTGGTAATAGTGACCACTACTTAACAGGCTTAGGAGTGATGAAAGCTCCTGCACTGTGCTTGATGATTACCGATTGGTTGCCATCTTTGATGGACCACACATTAATGTACCACCCACTCCCACTCATTAAGCTGAGATCTCCACTACTAGATCTCCACTGTTAGAGCCCTGCATTGTTAACTACCTTTTACGTTAATGGTGAGGGTGTTTTTGTCTTAAAGAGAACTTACAGGTATAGTTACATGAAAAGGTCAAACCGTCATGGTTTTAAATAAGTTAAGGCTACCTGACTAGACAAGGAATCAGGGCTAGGAGCAATTGTGTGGGCAACAGTTGATAGTTAAGGAGCCCAGGAGTGTTAGACCTTTCAGCTCAATTAGCTGTTTTCCTTGTTTGTCAGATTATGTGCAAAAGAAACTTTGCTATGAAAATCCATTGCCTTAAATCAAGTCATAAAAGTTACCCAGCAGAATCTGTAAATAAACTAGGAACATGTACTATCTCAATATAATATAATGATTGTAGGCACCTGAGTGTTTGTCAAAAGTAGACAATGAGCTAAGGTTTATTATTGTTTTTTTGGCAAGGAAGATTCATTATGAAAAAAACCTAACAACAACAAAACATACAATTTTAATCGAAATTTGAACACTTTCTGGATAAATTAATTAACCAAAGGCTAACTTACATCTATCTATGTATGTATCTATCTATTTTCCCATTTGATACCTTTTTGCAGGAAAGACTCATAGTAGGACCCTGAATTTGGGAAAGTAAAAAAATTCTGGTCATTAAATAAACACACCTTTTTTTTCCCTTCATGTTATTTAGCTTTCTTAACATTATCACACACACATACACACACACAAAGGAGCAGCACCAGTGCATCTACTTTTCGGCAATTTTAAAAAATTAAAGATGCTGTCAAAAGTTGAATAAGTCAATGAATCATAACATAGTCTTTCTTAGATTTACTTAATAATGTAAAGTGAAGAATTCTAGTTTAAAAAAAAGAACCAGCAGTTAATGAGCTACTGATCAGAAAATAAGTGCATAAACAATATCAGTGTAGCAGCAAAATACAGTTATTGTTAACATTCCGATGCACCTCATTTATTACTTTGTGCAAGAAATATGACCACAGTCTGGCCAATTCCAGATTTCAAACTAAATTAAAACTCATACTTAATTGAGCAAATTATGTGTATCTAAAAATAAAGGAATTAATAAGTTCACCTCTCACAGAAATGATTTTTATAGACATAAATGATGTGGCAAATAAAGTATAAAATAAATATCAATGACAAAAAATATTGGAATCAACTTCTATAGCTGAATTTGAAGTACAAGGAAAGATGATTTTACAATATATGTATTTTTACATGGTCTTAGGTCTTTCTTATGCTATAGAGGTAAAGCCAGTCATCTGAGATACATAGTTCCCGTTTCCTTTTATTTTTTGTTTTTATTTAACTCAATCATAGCCATTTGATTGTAGAAGTTTATCCATGACTTACAGAAACCGTAAAATGTTTCATCACACTGGAGTCTGTGCTTTGTGTTATTCTTCTTAACTTTCTCTCATCTTCCAAAAGGATGAACATGAATCCAATCCTACATCTCACAACTGAGAAGAAAACACCCGCTGGATCTCGGGCAGTGTCCTGTGTGTGTCTACAAAGCATTCACCTTAGATATCCATCCGTGGGAGATGAAGACTAGGGGTAAGGAGGCTTGGAGAGACAGTGGAGAGGGGCGCACTGCGGGCTGGAATGTGGCTGCTCGGCAGGGAGAGCTAGGTCAGGACTGAAAAGGAGAAACAAGCATGTCAGCAAGAAACGCCTTCACAGGGGGCCAGGCACACTTGTAAGGGTTAGAGAGACACAACCTTCTCATAGAAATTTAAAAAACATAAACACAAATTTTGCACAGAAAAGAATTAAATCTAAAGCATGCTAAGACGACTGCAGCTTTTCAAAAACAATGCACCAAAAAAAAAAAAAAAAAAAAAAAAAGGAAAGAAAGAAAAGAAAAAGAAACGTGTTAGGGAAATGACACATAAATCCTTCCCCCAATGTCGCTCCATTCCATTTCTGTACACAGTCTCATTTCGCCTAGGTCTCCAGGTTAGTTGTAAGATTTCTTCAAGTCGGTTCTTTTAAAACTTTAATGTATGCACCAATCACCTGCGGATCTTGGTAAAATGTGGCACCTGATTCCATAGGTCTGGGGTGGGACCTGACAATCTTCATTTCCAACCAGCTCCCAGGGATGTAGACAATGTTAGACCAAAGCTTTAGAGGACCCTACAGTTCTCTGGTAGATCCAAACTCTGTAGGATAAGCCTAATTTGCTCTAAGGGTTCCCACTATTTGCTTTATTTGGCAGTGAAAATAGGACAGTTTTAAAACTTCCTATGTGTTGAGCATATAATGCACGCTTCCAAACAACCACCTTTGGGAGCCTTCAGTTTATTTTTATTTATTTATTTATTTATTTATTTATTTATTTATTTATTTATTTTTAAAGGTTTTATTTATTTATTAATGAGAGAGAGAGAGAGAGAGAGAGAGAGAGAGAGGCAGAGACACAGGCAGAGGGAGAAGCAGGCTCCATGCAGGGACCCTGATGTGGGACTCGATCCTAGGTCTCCAGGATCATGCCCTGGGCTGAAGGCGGCGCCAAACCAGTGAGCCACCCAGGGCCGCCCAAGGGAGCCTTCAGTTTAAATGAATCCATAAATGTCCAGGCTCATTAATGTCTTGATGAATCTTAAAGGATAAAGAAATATAATTATTGAATTTCCTAAAGTAAAGTTACAAAACACACTTGGGTTTGGACCTTATCAAAGACGACTAATTGGGTTGGGGAACACGCAACTATGGGGATTTCTTTTAATTGAAAAAGACTAAAAAAAAAAAGAAAAAGAAAAAAAGAAAAAGACTGGCATTTTTCTAAAATTCTGCATTTCCTCCCTCACGTATTATGAAATTCAGTTCTGTAGGATTCATTTCTGCCAGGAATAATATTTGAGAAAACTATTCATGGCTCAAATCATAGCCATTTAATTGAGCCATGGCTCAAATAAATAAATAAATAAATAAATATTTAATAAATAATTTTTATTTTATCTATTTATTGTTTTTAAAGCTAATATTATCATTGAAGTCATTAGAATTAGTATTAAAAATCCTTTTTATCAGGATGCCTGTGTGGCTCAGCGGTTGAGCATCTGTCTTTGGCTCAGGATGTGATCCTGGGGTCCTGGGATCGAGTCCCACATTGGGCTCCTTGAAGGGAGCATGCTTCCCCTCTGCCTATATCTCTGCCTCTCTCTGTGTGTCTCTCATGAATAAATAAATAAAATCTTTTTAAAAAAATCCTTCTTATCTTTGGTACTGAAGTTATCCTTCAAGTATATCTCTTGAATTTTATTACAAAATTATAATTATGTAAAATACTGATCCGCTTGAGGTCATCCTTACTTCCCAAACTCAACTGCTATGAATTTAGAGGAGAGTGCTCTTCTGTACTAGTTAGAGCAACCAGTGATAAAAATAATTTTTCCTACCTATTTTTAAAACGTGGTAGGTAACCCTGGGAGAGCTGGAGCTTCAGCACAAGGATTAAAACGATTATTGCATGGCAAGGCTCTTCCTCTACCCTGTAGACAGAGTCAGATGGCCCAGGAAACACAGCAGCCTACAGACTCCCACAGACCTAACAGAGCTTCTCCCAGTTCTGCATGATTTAGAACAAGTTTCTTTTTTAGGCAACTAAACACACTATTCAACATAAGTTGTGGCAAGTAGCATGGGGTGGTCATGTTATATAAGAAGGGTATTGGAAGACCTCATGTAGTTCAAATACTCTTCCCAATCAAGGAAGACAAGTATTTCTCTCCTTTTCTTTTCCTTAGTGAACATATAGTACGATACTGGTTTCTGGAAGAAGATAAGCATTTCTGCTTGACCAGCTGGAGGGTATAGCAACAGCTTAACTACAGGTTATAGTTTGCTTGGCCCAACACCATCACATTATGTTAGTCATGATGATTTAAAAGTTTGTTCATTATTTCAGATTTCTTACATAAAGTGAGGGATCATAAATACTTAATATTATATAATTTCTAATATTTTACATTTGCATAAAGTACAATCACACTACATAGATTATGAAGAAATATGTTCTTGGCTTACTTATTTAGCTATAAATATTTGATAAGTTCCAATTATTTCAGGTATAGGCTGTATTCAGCTCTGATTGCTAACCACCTTCAGGAACCCACTTGTTATTCAACCTTTACATCTAAGAACTGCTTTTTGTAGGGAGATCATGTTGTAAACAGTAGGCTTAAGACATAAAAATGAGTATTTCCTCAGAAAGTTTCTCTTTTTGTCCAAGTAAGTGACTATTTGACAGAAGGGGAGAAGTGCTAAATCTCAAACATCTCCATATATTTAAATATTACATCCAAGGCTGCCACACATTGGGCGTTCCCTTTACATGATGTTTATTATCTATAAATAACTTTAATAATTTAGCTAACAGAATCAGTCTATAAGAAACATATATGGAAAATATGAGGAAAATGCTCATTTATTCAAAACCATACACCTAAAAAGTTATCTGAACATACATTATGAGCTGAAGGAAGTGTAAAACAGTTTTTATTGTGAGAAACAGAGAGAGAGAGCACTGATCTAAAGTTACTCAACATAGTGAGCAGATTTTATTTCTCATGTTTCTCATTAAGAAAATGCCCCTTCCTTTTCACTTCAGGGATAAAGAGTCAACATTAGTGATTTAAATTCTCTGATTATGCTCCTCACAGCATAATTAAAATTGGTGAACTTTTCCCAGCAGTAGAGTGGCATACCCTGGCACTTAGGACAATGTGTGCCAGACTCATTGGGCTCAGTTGCTTTCAGGATGGGTGACCCTGGAGAAGTCACATTACCTTCTTTTCCTCCTCCGTTTCCTGGTTTAAAAATGGGTGTGATAATGCCTACCTTCTAGGCATCATAATGATTAATAAGTGTGACATATCATGTACACGGTAAGAATTTAAATGTTGGCTGTTAATTTTTCTGCCACAAAGTGACAAGAGCAGTGAGGGCATTAAATTTGATTCATTTGGCAGCAGGCATGGGTGGGAAGGAAGCCAATTATAATCCCAGTGACTTTGAAATGGAGTTTCTTCAGGTCTATATGGATTTTATCATTTCTCTGTGGGGACCCCAATGGGAACCATGGAAACCCGGCCTATGCTGTATTCACATGAGTAGAAACTGGAAACATTTGTAATTCATTAAATTGCTTTTCTTTAAAGTAAATCATCCCTGTGAAGGTGTAGCAAGCAACCTAACTTCTGTAAGCTCAGAAGATACGGAACTGGGAACTGGGGCAGGTAACCATTTAGTCAAACTAGTTCCTTAAAAAAAAAAAAAAGGCAAGGTGAAATAAAATCAAACTGAAAAAATTCCCCCATTGGCCTTCCCATTCTTTACCTAATTGAAATACTTAAAGAAGGAAGCTTCTCCATTCTTTCCCCACGCAAATTAGAGAAAGAGGCCACAGACCTTTGCCTTGAAGAATGCTTAGGTACTGAGAACGGTTAGTAATAGTAACAGTGAGAGCACACTCTGCATGAGGCCTGTGCCACACTGAATCCCTCAAAACTATTCTCTTCCTTACTTTACAAGTGAAAACAACAATGACTATGACAACACACACATACACACACAGAATCTTTGCCAGCAAAAGCAACTTTCCATGATTACACAACTAGCAGGGGGTAGAGATGGGATTTAAACCCAAGCAATCTCCTCCAGAGTTCATCTACTCATTCCTGTGATTAATAGGTGCTGACCATTGGTGGTGTGCCTGGCGCTGTCCCAGGTCCTGGGTGGGTGGGGTGCTTGTCAGACGATGGCCTGTGGGGTGAGACTCTATGTTCTTTACCACTATACATACAGAGTCCCACTACAATGGGTCTGCACATTTATAATATTTTCAGTTACTTACATAATTAAAATGAGTCTACAGCTGGCTGCCGTAATAAAATGGCATTCATAAGTTCACAAAGAATGTTCTGGAAGTAAAAACTCTGTTGTTGGAATCCTGTCAGCAGACTAGACACCCATCAGGAGACAGTGGCTTGGGACCTATTGAATCATGGACCTTCTCCTGCTAAGTCCACGTCTCACTTCTCCAAATGGCTGCACGACCACCTCTGAGACCAAGCCACACAGGGGCTTTGGCTGCCGCTGTTTTTCTGCGGAGCATCTGTGGCTTGCTGGCTTGCGTGGCTCTAACCCGTGACCACAGGCAGCCTGCTACTGACATCTATTCCTGACATACATTGAAATATATTTAGGCCTGCCCCTACTCAAAAACAGCCTTGTCCTGGTAGAAGAGTGACATGTTCACTAAAATAGGGGAAGAACAAAAAGTAGACTATAAAAGCCACAGCCGGCTACAAAAATGTCACACCGTCAGAGGGCAACTAACTGGAGATGAAGTATTACACAAAGATGTAAGCAAGGTCCTGAGGGGGTGCTCTGATGCTGAGTGGGAGTTCACCCATATGGAGGTAAATTCATGATGGATTCGCAAAGCTTTCGCTGGAGTAGAGATTGTCAACAATCTCTTCAAGTTAGTGTCCAGCAGTATGAAAAGCTGCCTTTAAAATTCTTCAGTTAATCTCACATAAAGAGAGCCATCACCACAGATATTTTTTTAAAAGGCCAACTGTTAAGTTTTTCTCCACCCTTCAAAATCAGTTTTAATGAGGATCGTGAGTGGAGAAAAAAAACAGAAACACTCATAAAGTTGTCTTGGAACAGACATGAGGGACGCTTTCTATTCTTCTTGCTTATTTGTCTGAAAAATATATGCTAAGGGCAGAAGTCAAGCACAAGAAAAAGTAGGGCAAACATCCTAGTAATTCCAGGTTTTATATTTTGGAAGGTAGTGAACCACAGGATTAATCCTAGCATTTACTCGTACAAGGAAGCTGAAGGCAGCCCTTAGTCTACCCACCAGTGGCCAATAAAATAAACTCTAGCTCTCTTGTATTTCCGCTGGGCACATGGAGACTTCAGGTAGCCAGTGTATATGTTAGCATAGCCCATATTTAAGATAAAATGTAGCAAATATAATTATGGATAGGAAGTTATGGTGTTGGAAAGGAGAGCTTGGGATCCATGGATCTGACATGCAGCTGGGTGAGAAGAGAAAGGACGTCCGAATTTACCTGACAGTTGGGCAGTCTTGCCTCCCGGCTAGTTGTGAGCACTGTGGCGGTACGGAGGCAGCAGGCTGCTGACAATCTACAAGAAACTGATAAATTAGACATGTATACAAAGAGATGACAGAGCATCGTGTTAGTAACAGTAACTAAAGCAGTTGCCTGAGAGATTTAGTGAGGAATGTGCATTCATATAGAAACATCTGACATTTATTCCCCCCCCCCCACCGCATGATGCCAATAGAAGAGACGTTTTTCTGAATTAAATCCAGTATTTGAAAATTAGTGATACAAAACTGGTAGTGAGATTTCTCAAGTACATTAGGACATATTTGGCCATTCATATTTGGTATCTGGATACATCTAAAAATAAGGGGTCTATTAATATAATGAAAGATCTTCAAGTTCTGAACTTGAACATTTTGGCAGTTACTTGCTTAGCACTTAGATCTGCTTAACCAAAATGGAATATATTCAGATAACTGCCTTTATTGTCAGGACACATGGGCATATTGTCAATCCCATAACTACACTGAAAAAAGCAAGCATGCAACACAATATTTTCCATGATTAATAAGATATCAGAGGAAGAAATCATCTTTATAGTTTTCTGAGAATTTTATTAATCAAAAGCAAGACTTGTTAGCAGCAATAGTAGGTTTGTTATGTAGTAAATTGATAGTAACTTGGACTGATGGAGAAAGCTAACCTGAATGGGAAATCTACTTCTGTTTTATTTTTGACATTTTAAAGTCACATAATATAACTCATGCTAGGTTAACAAAATGCTAGCTATCAAAACTCCATATTTAAAGCTGATCAGTTATGTTAATCATCTACTCCAAGAAAGACCATGTGTTGAGAGTTCTAAAATAATCAAAGGACAGTCTGTTTATTGGTACCAGGCTGACTGTACTAGAGCCACCTGAGAAGCTGGTTAGAAATGCATGTTATATTTCTGCAAAAAGATTTTGCAAAAAAGTTAAACTTTGAGTTTGACTTGAAAATTCAATTATTTTCAAATAATTGCAGCATGTCCTCTCACTAACTGGTTAGACCGCGTATTTGCTTAGCAAATCTCTTCCCTTATTTGTTAGATAGATAATACTAAAGCTAAATTATCACTAAACCTAGATTTACAGGCTTGGATTATTGAGGTTCTACTGAAATTTACTTTCACAGGCCTAAGTATCACTTTTCAAAGGCCAGTATATCCTCATTAGAGCAAAATCTGCCTAAGAATCCTAAAATTCATGAAAACTGCTGATGCTTTTGTTTACAACATTGAAAACACACTAAAGCTGTCTGTGATGCAAAGTAGACAGGCTTGATTTGAGTTCATTCAAGAGAACATCATTTCTGAAGGGAGCCTTTCATAGGTAATCTTTGTCACAGAGTAGTTTATTAATTATTACCTATTAATAAGAACAAGATCTGCTTCTCATTGAGTAGTTGGTGTTCAGAATATCACACTCAATAAAAGTCCTTCAAATGTAACAAGTAGTTCTATCTTCTCCACTTTGGGGAATTCTTTTTATTTTTTTTTCCTCCTTCAACTCTATGCTTGTCATTTTGTAGCCTGGTTAGCCCAATGATTCCCTTTTGTAGAAACTCAGAGTCTTATAGGATGAATTCCTTCATGCTCCTTTTATCTTTTCCAACAGCTTTCCTATCTAAGTGATAATTTGAGATGTCTTGGACTCCTTCAGATAATGCTTCTGAGATGGTCAGCAGATGAGCAGTTTTAAGTTAACCAGGAGAGTGCTGCCCTCCTATGGTGTATTAGGGTAAATACAATAGATATAAATGAAAATAAATACTTCTAAAAACATTCTGGAATTTGGCCTCAGGTCTTCCATTTCCAAGGTGGTATAAATGAAGCACTTCTACAGCAAAATTTTGGCCTCTAAGGAATGACAAATCTTAGAGTAATTCGAGTATTTACATGGTTTAAAATTTTTTCATATCTCACATTAGAAATGATTTTTTTGTTAATGCAGTTATAGATTATTATTCATTCAAAATATGCTCTGTGATAAAATTTAGAAAGCAGGTGAGCAGGACTATGGTGCACTCCCTTAATGAATTGTTTAATAAGTGGTAGATATTCCTTATATTTGTAGTGAATACCACATTTTTCTCCTTTAGAAGTAAAATCATCTCTGGGCTAATTATTTATTATTTTGTACTTATTATTTATAAGTACTTAGCTAAGTGTTATCTTTGAAGGATAAAAAGCAAATTCTACAGCTAAGGTGGTGACAGATGAAAAAAATAAAATTAGAAAAATATCATATTGCTCTGACTCAATGGTCTTCTAAATCTCTCTTCTCAGGTTAACAGCCCTCCAATTACATATACATCTAACTCAGCTGAGCAGGATGTGTATTAACAAGTACTTTGTAAAATGAAAGGGGTGAGTTAGGAGCTTGGGGAAGTCCCTCCCAGTTCTGGGATGCTGTAGGCTCTACATAATCTCACATGCTCTTTCTAGAATCTACTCTGAGGTAGACTAACTCTTAAAGGAGCATGGCCTCGTCTCATTATTTTTGAGGGCATAATAGATGACAATTATGTGACTCAAGCAGGATGCGTTAAAGAAACTGCATCAGCCACTGCTGTCATCTAGGCCACCAGAACTCATTTCAACCATTCAACAATCAAGTTATTAAACTCCTTGGATGTGTTCAAAACTGCTAGGCATTGGGGACAAAGGGAAAACAGAGAAGATAGGTGCCTGGCCAATTGGGTAAGACAAGCATATTCAACCAGCAATTATAATGAAGTGTCACAATGATGATGGTGGTGATGATGATGGTGATGATAATAGCACCTAACACTTGTTTATTATGGCTTACCATGTGCCAGGCACTGTGTAGGCACTTAACCTGTATGCTCTCCTGTAACCCTGTTTTATTCATTGCAGTTGATGGATGAGGAAAGAGGGACTTAGGTTAAGTAACTAGCCAGAGTCCACTAAGAGATGGATCTGAATTTGAATCCAGGATTGTATGACCCAAAGGCTGGATTGAATTTACAGACATATCACTACATTGCTTTCCAAGATAGGGAAATGTAGGGATCACAGGGCAGAAACACTTAACTAAATCTAAGGGGTCAGGGGACGCTTCCTGGAGGTTGTAAGATCTAGGCTAATGCCAGAAAAACAAGTTAGCTAAAGAACTTCTTGGCAACTATAAAGAGTTTATGGTCTCTACTAATAGGAATAAAATATTTCATCATAAAATTAAAGTTTTTCAAAATGTTCAGAACTGAATTAGATAACACTGTACATTCATAAGGTTACAGGCCTGAGAAGTGTCAGAGCATACCCAAGATATTGTTAGTGCCTCAAGGGTAGATGAATAAGGGATATTATAGCTTAAAGCATCTTAGGTCTATACTGACCTACACAGGAAGAGCACCCATTTATGGCACTCCTCCATGAACAAGAGTCCATTTGAAAGGAAGGTTAAAAAAAAAAGGAAAGAGAAAAAAGGAAGGAAATTATTTGCTGAATCAACATGATTTAGTTTCTCTTAGGAACTTTATTTTATCTATTTTAAGCCTTAGCAACACTCCAGAGGTATTATTTTCATTGTTCCTACCATAAGAAAATAAATATTTGATATATGGGACTATACCAAAATCTTATATACTCTGAGGCTATTTTTCCCCCTTTAACATTTTTCATGGCAACAGAAACAAATACTGAACTGGCATCATAGTAGGTGCTCCAAAAACATTCTTTGATTAAATTAATACACGATCATCATGTACATTAACTCACCCATGGTCACACAGCTAGGAAGTGGCACAGCAGGGATTTAAGGTCAGACTTTTCTGATGCTGAGGCCTGTTTTCTACTCACTACTCTGGCTGGCTCTCAAATCGATACCAACTACCTCTAGAAAATATCAGGGCCATAGAGTCAAAGAAACATAAATAAGAACGTCACCAGGCAGTTAAGATAATAATTTGAAGGCAACCAATTACTTCAAAAACACAAAACAGGGTAAAAGGTGCAAGTATGGGGATGATATTCAATTTCTATAAATTGACAAATAGGGAGAGAAAGTCTGATTATAGGGTTTTCCCCTCAGGCTTCTACTACTTCTAACTTCCTACTGCAGTTTAGAAAATGAACCAATTTTCTAAAAGTCACTGCCTTACAAAGTCCCGTGAGCCCACTGGTGGCCCTTTGGGAAGGGAGGGAGAACCTCATGTGGAAGGAAGCAGGGAACCCCTCTGTGCTTGGGTTCCACACCGGGCTCAGCTGCAGTACTGAGAGGTGGGTGAGGACCTGTGGGTGAAAGCTGATCTGTGGAGACCATACCGGCAGTTCTGTGGCTGTGCGGACGGCTTCCTTGGTACCCAAATGCTCTGTGGGAAGTCGAGCGGTGGCTCTCTGTGGCAAACAGTCTCTTAAAGAATGGTCAGCACCCCAGCCCCTGGTTTTCCAGACCTGACAACTAATGCATCCCCACCATTTCATGAGCATCCCTACCTTCCCTCATGACCACAAACCCCCCAGGTGTTACACACTTTCTATGAAAACCCTCTTTGTCACCCAAGTTTTCCTCAGGCCAAATAATGTAAGTTCTTCCTCACAGGACACATTTTCAACTTGACTCACTCTCCTTGCTCTTTGAGCATGTTCCACTGTGTGCAACAATCTTCTAAAAATGAGGGGTTTCAAAAGGAAATCACGTGGGATAAGAGGTGACTGGTGGAGTAGAGTGGCAATCTTGCCTCATTTGAGATACCTCCATTCTATTAAAAGAGCAGAAGCCTGCATGGCAAAATTTTTTTGGCAGCCATGTCACACTGCTGTTTCATATGACTTACTTTGCCTACAGATGGTGCTATCAAGTTATGCTTCCTCCATCCTGCACTTGGGCTGTCTGGAATCCCAGTGCAATATTTAAATTTTTTTTATTTATTTAAACAATCTCTATACCCAAAGTGGAGCTTGAACTCACGACCCTGAGATCAAAAGTGGCACGCTCCTATGACTGAGCCAGCCAGGCACCTCTCATATACTTTTATGTTTATCTCTAGTAAATCTCACCTTTTCCTACC